AAAAAAAAAAAAAAAAAGGTAAATTGTAAGGTGGTCGCCCTAGTTTGAAGGGCACCATATATTCCAAAATTATTTAACATAATACAACGTTAATCAGATGATTACTTTTATTATTATTAAAGCAAAACTTACTAGTATTCGACCATGTACATTTGCACAGATATAAAAATGTGTTGTGAATTATTTGTATGCATATAATGATTAATTATTTTTTTTCACCTTTTTTGCTGGCCAAATTTACAATTAAATGTGTTGAAATATATATTTTTTTAAATTGCGTTTATCTGATTGGATGTAATGTATATTTTGGTACGTCTTTTTTTTTGTGAATTATTTATTATTTATTTAAGAACTTCAAATACATTTTTTTTTTAAAAAAAAATAATTTTAATGTTACCACAATAATAACACATTATACGGTCAACACATTATATGGTCGACTGTCAGTAATCGGAAGTTTAAAATACTTTTTGTAATTTTAAAGTGATTAGTATTGATTATTTAATAATCAAATGAAAGATTAAATACATCAAAAGTAACAGTTTGGGGGTGGAAAGATAAATGATTAAATTGCCACATAGGTAAAAATTAAATGAATTTTATTAAAGGGGCTAGATTTCATTTTAACTTTTGATTGAGTGTTATAATGGAGTATTACCACTTTATTAAATGCTATTAACTAATAATTATATATATAGATATAGATAACATTTAATTAAATTCAAATAAAAATTCTTGTATTCTTAACTCATGTACGGTGGTTAACTCGTACTCATATCATTTTTTTATTGTTAAAAAATAAATACTATAATGAGCTTTGCTTTGAAAAAAACAAAAAGAAAAAAGAAACTTCACCTTATATGAATTTCTAGCTATTTATTAATTATTACTATTAAATGTTATATAAGCTCACAACAATAGTAACTATATTACACTTAGTCTACGCAATCATTGAATCAATCCCCCTCATAAGTCATAAGTTATTAGTCACCCTATATATATACCTATATATATATATAGAAGGTGGCGGATCTACTTATATGGGACCCGTAGGGCACGGGCCCTTGTAGAATTTTGTGTAATATATATATAAGGGAGGGTTCTAATAAGAACTACCTCTAGTGTAAGAACTAGGAACCAATCCTAGCCTTCAAATCCATAATAATTCAGGTTTGAGATTATGTTTAGTATATTAAGAATTTAACTAAAGCTTACTAATAAGTATATGTAGGGACAAATTAGGAAACTGATATTAGATGGAAATCTTCTCTTTTATTGCAACCTGGATTTTATGGAAATTAAATTCTTAAAAGATGGTAACTTTGACCAACAAAAGTATACGGGACAATAAAAAATTGTTATGCACATTTTATTATATGATGATGCTAATTTCAAATACACGTGACTAGTTTTAACAATATACACCATGAAATTGAAAATTAATTATGTTAGTAGTGGAAGTACTAGCATATAGCATATCAATTTCCCAATGCTATTTTAGTTTTAGTAGATCATTGTAATTGCATGGAGATTGTATATATGCGAGTTAGTAATTTGATGAATGTCACAACCGCGTTATAGTCTATTTGGTAAATTGCGAGCAACTCTGTGCTATTATATTAATACTTTAGTGCTATTACTAATGGAGATTATTGCTATAATTAAAAAAAGAGTACTATATTTAACAAAAAATACGTTGCTATTATTTTTTGTATAAGAATAACAAACAAAAATATTTTGCTATATAATTTGTTTTATAGAACATAATTTTAATTTATTTTACCCATGCTATTAAATAAACTTAAAATTTGATATACAAGGTAGTTCTAATTTTATGAGTTGCAATTGCTAGCAATAACATAGATTTGATAATGTAATTCGTGATAATAAATTATTGATTAGTGCTATATATAAATATATTAATTCTTGTTGCTTAATGTTTTTATCTGAATTCATTGTCTTCACATGACTTTATCAAATGTTAGTATTGTCTGTATTATTGACAATTATTAGTGAAAATGTGTGTCCAATACATGTCCAACTCATCAAAGTAACATTATTGAACTTAATGCTATCAATTATTCATATATACGCTACTATTCCAATTATTAATGCTTGCTACATCAAAGGTTCGTATTGTATCTAACAACCAATTAGCCTTAATATGAATTTCATGCTATCAAATGTTCAAATTGTTGCTAATATTTGCAACTTTTAGTGCTAGCTATCAAATTATTTCAGAGTAACTAACAATCTATTAGACTTACTATGTTTTTATGCTACCAAATGTTTATATTCTTGCTACAATAATAACTTTTAAGTGATAATATTATATGATACAATATTATGTATTTAATTTCTATTTTCATTAATATATAATAAAATTTTACAACAAAAAAAGGTGCCGATAAAGAAACCATTAAATACTTTTTTGGTGTAATTCACAATAAATTATTTTATATAAGTTTAAGAAATCACTGGTTATCCATATAAAGTATCTAAATATAATGACCGTAGTTGGACAAAAAACACTAGTATTAAATTTTATGTATTAAAAAATAAAGATATATTTGAAAAAATCAATTCTTAAGCATCATCGAAACTGGTCAATGGTCATTCCATGTGTGATGTGCATGATTAGCCTATAGATAAATTATTTTCTTTATTAATAACAAATATATTATAAAATATTTTGAATAGGAAAAAGAAAAAAAAAAGAATAACATATATAGATAACAAAACAATTCGAAAACATAATGAAAAATAAAAAAAATTAAAAGTCAAAGAGTTCATATACATTAAGGAGCACTACCATATTTGTTAACAATTAACTTGACATATATAGCATCCTCTCCATAAATGTGATTTTTAAACAAATTTACTTTTATATTGCTTTCAATCTAATCCGTTAATATTTATTGATTGGATGGTTATGATTGGTTCCTTGTTCTTACACTAAGAGAGAGTTCTCATTTGAACCACATCATATATATATATATATATATATATATTATTTGTATAAATGTATTATTATCTTGACATAAAAATACATGTTATTAATTAGAGTTAATTGCTAAATAAATCTTAACCTTTTTGCGTTTGACAATTTTATCTCAATTTTTGGGTAATTGCAATATAATCTTGACCTCAATTACTTATTGCAAGTCCAACCTAAAACCGGTTGGACCTTCAAAAAACTGGTCGATTTGAAGGCGGTTCGAACAGATCGGAGCTTATATTTACCGGTTCACTTCAGATCTAGGAGAAGACTCATCACTGATAGCTTACATTGACGTGGAATTTTCGGCTTTGTGCTTGGATATACATTAAATACGTGAAAATTGTCAACTTGTTACGTGGATGGCATAAATCAATCACTCTGCACCTAAATTTGCAATAAGTAAATTGAGGTCGAGATTATATTGCAATTACTCAAAGATTGAGTTAAAATTGCCAAACGCAAAAAGGCTAAGGTTTATTTAGCAATTAACCCTATTAATTATTATGCAAAGTTATTTCAATATAAAAAAATAAAAATAAAATATTTAGAATATTTAACCTTCAATAGTATGTTATTTTTCAAGTTGTGGAATTTATGTTTATGCTACACTCAACTTCTTGTTTATTTCAATTTCTCTCCCAAAATTAAAAAAAACATAAAAAAAATAAATTATATACATAAATGTGTATAATATATAGGGGTTGAATCAAATGTGTCTCTATTCTTAAATGAGAATGAGAGACTCAACTCTAACTATTAAATAAGAAACAGGGTGTTTGGTCAAAATTTTTTATATTTTTATTTTTAGTTGGTTAAATATTAATTTGACTGTTGACTTTCGGCATTGACCGTCGACCATAGTTTGTGCCCCCGTTGTTCATAAAGTTTGTGTCCGCCCCTGTATATAATATATTCACACGTTATAAGTTATTAGTTATAAGCTCAAAATTCACTTATAACCTATTAGTTCAAATTAGTTTTAAGCTAACTTAAATTAGTTTTGACAGTCACCCAAAAAAATAAATTGTAAAAATGATACTTAAAAATTATTATTATTATTATTATTATTATTATTATTATTATTATTATTATTATTATTTGAGGTAAAACCAAATCTTAAAAAATACATATTCAAAACGTTTGACCTCCCGCAAATCATGTTTATACAAATCTAACATACTCGAATAGTAGGATAAGGCGTATTTTAAAAAAAATATTGTACGAATTAAATTTTTTTTAAAATAATGAGTACTTAGAAATTAAGATCTATTGACTTAGAAAAAGATATTAAAAAAATTGTTTACAACAGGAAAAATTAGAAATTTAGTCCTTTGAGTGGCGTCGATTTGAGGTTTAGTCCTTTAACTGACCAACTTTTAGAAAAGGTCTTGTAAGTCTCAAAAAACCTGAGATTTAGTCCTATTACCGACAAAAACAGGTCACTTTTACCGACTTGCCTACGTGGAATTTTACACGATTTTTTTTTTTTTTTTTGCTGATTTAGCTGACTTGGAAAAATATGTAACATATTTACAAAAAAAATGTAGATAGTGGAGTTTGAACCCAAACCAAAGAGTATTCAAGTGGCCTTAAGAGCCACTTCACCTACCACAACTTATGTACATTTTGTGACTTCACTTATATATATTTAAAGAACAGTTTATTATATATTTAGTTACTAGGTTAATATATATATTAAATATTTAGTTATTCTACTA